CCCCGGGGCGCCCGGGCCCGCGCGGCCACGTGCTCCTCGCCGGATGATATTTGGAAAGAAAGTGCTAATGGCCAATCTGGTGTTTATTTTGAAACTGCTAACAATGATTTTTCTCGGGTAAAAAGGCAGTGTCTGCGCACACGCTCTGGTGGGTTTTGAGCAGAGGCTCCGCCAGATGGTGCGAGGCCCTAGGTGCGCACACGACCGCGCTCAGCCCGGCTCCGCAGCCGGGAACCCGGGCCGGGGGGCCGCCCGCGCCTGCCCCACCGCCGGCCTCGCCAAAAAAGAAAGGAAAAAAAAAAGGGAAAAAGGCCACTGGGGGAGGGGGAGGGGCGGGGGCCGGGAGCCGCAAGTTCCCCCGCAGAAAATTCCACGGAACGGGGAGGGGAGTCTCCTCTCCAGTTCCCGCCCTCCCCCCCGAAAATTATCTGGAAATCACTTCCAACCTCCTCGGGCACTTCTGACACTTTCCTCCACTTCCAGGCGGACAAAGCCCTTTCTCGGGAAAGCCCGGGGCCGCCCTCTGGGCAGAGGGAAGGGTTCCCTCGAGCCCCTCTCCCACTGCCCCTTCCCGACCCACTCGGAACCACAGAAGTGATGGGTGTCACCCCAAGCCAACGGGCCGCCTGGGGCTCAGGGCGCGTGGCCGCGGCGGGCACCAGCACTTCTGAGAACGCGGCTTGTCCTCGGATGGATCCCCGTATTTATATTTGATTTATTTTTTATTTTGTAGCACAAACAGAAATCCATAAACTGTCGGTTCAGCGCCATTGACTCTTTGATCAGTTACTGGGCTATTTCTTTCCTTCCCCACCCCCCCCATCTCCGTCAGTGAGAGGAGATTAAATGCCTTTATTCTCAGCCCCGTTTATACTGTAAAGGTACAGGGAAAAATGAACAATAAAAGTGCACTTAAAACGGAAACCTCCTCCTTCTCTATGCAGAAACTCAGCGCTGCCTGCATCAACCTCTTCGTTAGACTACAGCGATTTCCGAAAACATTTAGCCCTTATATACAAAGGAAATAAAAGCACCCTGTCAACGCGCCTCCCGAGTTCCAGAGGCTTCCCTGAATCCCAGTGAAATAATTACCGAAGGGCACGCCGCCTCCGTCTTTGTCAGAAAGACCGTAGTTTACCTGTCAGATCTGTTTTACTCTAAGAGAAAACCATAGTGTTTTACCACTGCAGACATTAAAATCTAACACGCTTGTTGCCTAGGTAAGGACAAACTTTTTAAAGGGGAAGTAAAATCCGAAAACCAATTGCCGTGCAGAGAGTGGGAGGCATGCGTGCTGGGCTGCAAGAAGCAGAAAGAGTTCCTTTTTACTTCGCTCACAATTCTGCAAGTTAGCATCAAAACTGAAGACATTACTTTCATTTCTAAGCGTGAAGCTCAGTTTGGAAGTATATTTTAAATCAATCTGTGCACAGTGGCTTTCACTTAGGCGTGGGATTTGCCCCTCCCCCACACTACTTGACGAAAACGGGGGGAAAATCTTTAAAACAACTAAACAACAACATACCACCCAACACAAGACCAGCCAGAGACTGCACAATGTCAAAAAGCAATGAAGCACTTTTCTGCACTTAATCACACGACTGATAGCCAATAGTTATCATCGGAAAAGTTGACCAAGACAGGTTAAATAATTTAATAAGGAACTGCTGGTAATTATGTTATTTACAAGGTATGACAGAGGGTGGAAAGGGACGAGAAGCTACCCCCAGAGCAATGGACGGGTTTGGGTGACCCCTGGAGCTCGGAGTTTGAATTATGGAGATGGGGGGCTGAGAGGTGAAGATGGACTAGAGGAGAACAAGGTGACTTTTCACCCCAACACATTTAACTTTTAAATCCAAATAAACGTCTCGTGTTACTAGACCATCACACTGGAAAGGAGGGAAAAAATGAGCTAATCAAGTCCAACCCAATGGGCTCTGGAAAGGAGTTAGTTGTCTTTGTTATAGAAAAAAAAAAATCAATGAAATGATTCCAAGCAGAGAGAGAAACGTTTAAAAATTTACAAGGGGGGAGACCCTGAGAATTTTGTCAAATATTAATTACCATAATTAATTAAGACAGAATTTGATTCCAATCACAAGCCATTTAATAAAGCATGTATGTCCTGTTCTAATGACAACATAAACTATTTTACCAATCACTTCATTTATTCCAATAAATATGGAATTCTCATTAGCATGTCAAGGACACTAAATGAAAAACAAATACACCAGATCCATTTGTCAGTCTCCTAGTCTCTGAAACCCCAGGGCAGCCCCAGCTGAGCAGTGAAAACTAGTGTCGAGGCTTAAACTTTCTCACCTGTTTGGTCATTGAATCTATGAGGCGAACATACAGATCCTGCTCCGTTCTGACTCCTGCGAAGAAACAGGGACAGATTCTCATCAGGATTTTTAGCAAGGGCACACGGGGGCACAGGAAGTCGGTAACCCGGGACTGCCACCTCCATGATGCAGCAAAAGTTAGGCATGCCCTTTAAAAGGCAGGAAAGAACCCCAATCACTTCTCATTTAAATTTTTTCTTTTCTTAATTAAGAACCTCAATACTCTTAGAGTTTGCATTTAAAGGTGCAAGAAATGTGCCTGGCTGAGAGCAGGCCTGGTCGCTGCTCCGGGTGGGCCATGTGCTGCTTTATTTTTGAAAACAGCACGAAATGGAAACTAAGTGAGAGTCTGAACTCTTTCTAATGTCTCTCGAGGATTTTTTTTAAATCTCAGTGCACAGGAAGTAAGTTGTGCTCGGTGTACAGAGCTACCCCCGTTTCAATAATTAACATTAATTTGCAAAATTGAAAAAAGTCACTTAAAAGTGATGTTCTGCTGGCGCCCCGTATCGATCCCCTTTTTACTTTCTGCTTCGAGCCCGACCGGTTAATCATGTGAAGGGCCATCGACTTATTGATCGTTTATGTTTTGTTTTCCTTCTATGCCATGAGAAGATTTCGTGTTTACATCCATGTCATTTTAATCTCAAAATCTTTATGTCCTTTAGCCATCGCGGAAAGGGAGAGCGAGCCCGGCGGGGCGGGAAGGCAGGAGCGGCCGCCGCCACTTACCGTTGCTGTACAGCAACTGGAGTTTATAGTGGATGCCGTTGTTGGTTTTCTCGTTGTTGGGCTCCTGAAAGTAACGATAAATAATTGCATTTAGTGCGATCGGTGTCCGGCGCGGCCACCGCACTCGGTCCCCCTCCACGACCGAGGCCCCTTGGCCTCACGCATGGCAGGATTCCTAGCTCGGAGCAGCGCGGTGATGTCACTTTCCTGCTGGAAGGCCAGCGTTCTCCTCGCCCGGAGTAAGTCCGGGGGCGCAGAGAAGTTGCCCAGCCCTCGGCTGGCCCGGGCGGCCGCACGTGGCGGCGGCGGGGGGCGCCGCGCAGAGCGGTCCCCGCCGCCGAGGGGGCACTCGGGGCCACCGCGCTTGGGCACCGCCTGCCTCCCACTTCTAGAAAGATGGAGGGTGTGACTGTATGTTTGCACTTACTTTCTCTTTCTCCACAAAGTCCACAAAAGCGGTCCTTTCAATCTCCACCGGCTGCCCCTGCCTGTCGTAGAGCGCCAGCACGAAGTGGAAGAAATTGGATTTCCGGAGGTTGGAAGGCGGCTGCTTCTCGAAGTGCGCCCGCGCCAGCCCCACGCCGCTGCGGGAGGAAAGAGACAGCGGCCCGGTGAGGAGCGCGGCGCCGGCCGGCTGCGGGGACCCGGCGGGGCCGGGGCCGGGGCGCGCGGGGGCGGCCGGTACGTACCTCTGGGCGGCCGTGTTGGCGTCCACCACCCCCGCCGTGTGCATCCACGAGCGCACCGGGTTCATGCCGCTGCCCAGCGGCTCCTCCTTCATGGTCGTCCCCCCGCGCGGAATATTCTCCTGAATTCCAAACATGAAAACTGGTGGCGGCGGCCGCAGCTCCCGGCCGAAAGCGCTTCCGCGAGCAGCGGCGCTCGGGGCTCGGCGGCAGGCGGCTGCCCTGGCCGCGCTGGCCCTGCTCGGCGCCTGCGGTCCGGCCCGCCGCCGGCTTCAGCCCGTCCCGGGCAGGCGCGACATACACCGGCGGCCGGGCGCTCCGGACGGCCGGGGGCGCGGAGGCGGCTACACCGGCGGCGCTTCGGCGGAGCAGGACGCGGTGGCCGCGGCGGCGGCGGTTTTTGTTGTTGTTTTGCAGGCGCGCTCAACGTGGTGTCATCCTAGCCAGGCGGCGTCCGCGGCTGCAGGACACTGCGGGATCGCCCGCTTCTGGCGCGGCCCGCCTGCTCCAAAGACAAATAAACGGGGCAGTGAGTGCCGCGGCGCAGTCCCGGGCGCAGGCGGGGCGCGGCGGGGCCTGGAGCGGCGCGCGCAGCGGATGGAGGCGCACAAAACTCAGCCCTCTCTCCCCGAGGAATGGACCCTTTCCCGGGAGCCAAAACTCGAAGCCCCCGGGAGCGGCGCTGTCAGAGGGTGACGTCGGGGGGCGGCGCCTGCGCCATATATGGGAGCGGCCGCCCCTCGCCGCGCCCCTCGCCGCCGCCGCCGCCGCCGCCGCGCTCTCCGACTGACTGCCTGACGGCGCCGCGAGCCGGCCCGAGCCCCGCGAGCCCAGCGAGCCCTGCCGCCGCCGAGCGCCGCCGAGCGCCGCCGAGCGCCACCGAGCGCCGCCGCAGCCCCCAGCCACGCGCCGCGGCTCCTCGCGCCCACCCGCAGCCAAGGAAGTTACTACTCGCCCAAATAAGTCTTGAAATGAAACAAACAACCAGTGCACAACTGCAGCCTGGCCCCTTAATACCTCCTCCCGAAATCAGCCACACAATCAAAACACCGTGGGGAGCAGGGGGTAAAATGCCGGGGCGCCCCCAGTTGCCCAAATGCTGGCACTAAATGCAAGGGGCCGCAGGTCGCCCTGGGATGGCCCAAAGGGAAAAGTGGTAGAAGCAGGCAGGCCGCAGGAAGGGAGCTGGAGGGGCAAGCAACGGACTGGGGGCTGGGGGCTGGGGCCTGGGGGCGAGGTGGGGGCGGGGAGCAGGGCTCCCCGGCCAAGGCGGGGCGCGCAGCTCAGCCTGTTTTCTAAGCAGACCTAAAGCGGCTGGGGGGGCCGGTCTGCCCCCGTCTGGGCCTTTCTGGGCGCGCGTGCTTTCCGCCCCGGCGGAGGCCACCGAGTGTCGGGCTGGGGACCCACGTCGGAGGCGGGCTCTGCCAGATGCTCTCTCTCTTTCCCGGTGGCCACGGGAGACCCCGTCCCCCGGCCTGTCCTTAGGCGCGGCGAGTGACAAAGGCGGCTCCGGGCTCTCTGAGTGGACAGGAAGCGCGCCCGGCCTCTGCGGCGACCCCGAGCCGGGTGTCCGGCTGCGCGCCCCGCGCGATGACCAGACCTCCCCGGCGCCAGCCGCTCTAAAAGCCGAGCAGACGCTGCGGGCGCCCGGGTCCTGCCCTCGGTGCCGCTGAGCCCGAGTGAGCGCGCGACGCGCGGCTTCCAGACCTGGTTTCCAGGAATCTGGAGGGCAGCGGGGTGCGGGTAGCGCGTGGGCCCGGCGGCCGAGCTCCTGCAGGCAGCCGGGACTCGGCGCCCAGGCGCACTGCCCGCCCAAAGGACGTCTGCGCGACACGGAGCGGAGGCCCAGGGGACGACCAGGAGCTGTCCCGGCACTTCCCTGCCGAGAGAATTCAGGCCCTTTTGATTAAAACAAACAGAAAATTAAAAAAACAGGTTTCAAGGTGCAGTGTGTCGCAGGACAGCCTCTTCACGCCCGGTCTGGGGTAGCACTCGTTGTTTTTTTTTTTCTTTCCTGAATTGGCAGTGTGTGTGCGTTAATATTTTAATTAATCGGGAAAATCAAAGTCCGATTTACGTTATCTGGGGACCCCCAAGCCTCTTGGAAGGGGTGAGAAAAAAAAGCAGTGCTGGAAAGCAATCTATTTTGCTGGTGTTGGGGGTTAATGACTATTGCCAAAGATAAGTGAATTATCACAGCTGTTGCGCCAGTCCCATCTCAAAATCCATTCCGGTGCCGGCCGTCTAATTAAATACGTAAGTATAATAAAATCATATTTTATGACTATTTGAGGGTAATGAGATTAGTCTTTAGAAGCGATCGCCACATATTAAAGATGCCACTGTCTATAGAATGTTAATAACCTTAAATCAAAGTGTATGGAAACTATTCACGATAAATTAAATGAAAATTTCTGTATTCCTAATAAGCCCAGTGCTTTCCACCCACAGCCGACCCAGTGGAAGAGGGAACACTTTCCTCGTGGAGGGACAACGCAAAATAAAGTTAGTCAACGGTGGAGGGTCGGGTTGAGAAATCGCTTTGTCTCTGCGTATTTAGCTGCTTCTGGGGCTCACCGCAAGGCGAGCGGCCAGGCAAGCGTTATTGTCAGATTATGCAAAGTGCCTTTTCGGAAAAGATGAAGTTGGAAAGGGGAAACAATGTTCCCTTTGTAGCACACTTCCTAAAATGCCCAGCCCACGCTGGAGGTACCCCCTTCCTTGCTCTAACGAAAGTATCATGCTTAAAATCATTTACAGTATCTTTAATTCAGATTACACGCGCCAAGGCGATTTAAATCTGATTACCAAATTAGAAGGTTTTAAAACAAATCCTTCTAAATCTGATACTGTTGACTAAAGAGGGAAAAAAAGTTCTATAAGCCCATCACATAAGGTAACGATCCTGCCCCAGAAAGAAAAGGGGTTTTAAACCTTTTTGACAACAAATGCAGCTGCCCCACTATTTTGGATGATATTAAGCGAAAATGAATGCAAATCTGTGTTCAGCAGCCATCTGGCCCGAAATGGGGGAATCAGCTGCTCTCACAACAGGCTCGGAGGCTGAATCCATTTCAGCTCATTTTCTAGATCATCTGGTCCCGCACCCAAAGCGTGGAAAATACGGTCTTTATCATTCACCAACTTTATCTTTTTTGTCACTCCACTGCTGGCTCCGAGCTGCGGGCACAAGGACTCGCCAGCCGGGCAGGGTCTCCACACGGGCCTGCTGCGGAGCGGCCTGGCAGGGCAGCCCCTCAGCCCCCACACCTCACCCCACCCCAGATTTTCCCCTTGACGGGGCGGGAGCGGCAGCGGAGAGGAGCGAGGGGCCCAGCGCCCAGGCCGGGGACGGCGGAGGGGGCCGCAGGTCAATTCCTGGATGTGCAGAGAGATGCTGGGAGCGCATCCCCGCGCCCGCCGCCTCTAGCAGGAGCCCTGCCCCCGCCCCTCTCGCTCTCTGGGGATCTAGGGGAGCCCAGTACCCAGGCGGGGGAAGCCGAGGGGGGGCGGGTGCCGGCTGACTCTTTGGAAGTTGAGCAGGCCCGCCGCGACCGCTGGTCCAGCCTCCGCGCACAGACCGCTCCCAGGGGCCAGACAGACGCCCAGGGGCCGGGCCGGGCGGGGCCTGACCTTCGCTGGAAACCTCGCGGGCCGCGACGGCGGCGACGACAGCTCAGGGCGCCGCGCTCAACGCGATTTGCACGGGTGGCCCTCGCGCCACTGCCTCCTCCTCCTCCCCCTCGGAGGTTGGGAAGTATTCCTTTTGTGCGGATTTACGGGGAGAGGCTTCAATGAGCCCCCTCACATTTGCATTTAAATAGCGGCATCAAGCGCTTCGCGTGCCACACACCAGTGGGCTCCCAGATGTCACGCCGGAGTCAGTCAGATGGCCAGTGCCCAGCTGTCCTCCCCACGTCGTGCCGGAGCAGGCAGTGACCTTAAAGAGACAGCGCCCGCAGCCCCTGGAGCCCCGCTCGGGGAGCGGCGTGCAGGGCGCAGGGCCGCGGCCGCGCTTGGCCACTGACCTGCGGCACCACCCGAGGCTGGGCCGGGCGGTACAAAGGCGCAGCGCCCGCGCCCAGGCCCAGCCCGGCCTCCCTGCCGGCCGCGCAGTGTCCAGGCCGCCGCGCGCACCAAGCCCTCCGCCCGCGCCCACTACCCACCCACGGGAGGAGGGGAGGACTGCTCCGCGCGCGCCAGGCGTTGAACTTCCCCCTCGCGCCTCCCAGTCACGGGTCCTCCACTGCCGCGTGGTGCAAGGCCTGGAGAGCGGGAGTCGGGCTGGTGCCGGCCTCCGAGCCATCCAGAAACTTCGGCCAAGTTGGGGTCCCAGGACGCAAGGCCGGCCGCGGCGTCAGCGCCGGCCCAACGCCCAGAGCACTCTGTGAATGCCCCTTCCTGCTCGCGGCCGAGCCCGGGGAGCCAGCCGCCCTCTCTCCCAGCCTTCCGAAGAGTAATAAACTGCATTTCCGGCGTTGAGAAGCCCGGGCCGGGGGTTCCTGGAAGCCAATCCCCAGGAGGCATCCGGGGTGCGCGAGCGCGGCCGGGTGCGGCTCCGTCGTACCGCCAGTGTCCTCAGGCCCAGGCTGCGCGGCCATGTCCCTCAGAGCCCTCAGGAAAGGGTGGGAGCCAACGCGCCGAAGGCCAGCGGTTCGCTTTCCCGCCGCCAGTGCTGAGTTGCAGGCACGGCCCGCCCCACGTCCTCCGCGCCCGGGGGTCACGCTCAGACAGCGCCGGTGACCCGGCCTCCAGCCCGGCTCCGGCCCCGAGTCTGGGCCCGGCGCCGCGCACAGGCACGGCTCGGGAAAAGAACCCGAAAGCGGAGGGCCAGACTGACCTTGGGCCCCGGCGAGAAGGAGGTGCAGGGGCTGGGGGAGCCGGAGAATAGAGTAATCCCGAGAGGGCGCACCTAGAAAGTCCCGTGAACTGCGGGGTGGGGTGGAACAGCCAGGCACTCGCAAACTCTGCCCCTCGGGGGTCAGTGACGCGGCCACTGAGCGCGCCCGGGCTTTGCCTTGCGCCGCGGGGGCACGCTCGCCCGTGGGCCTGGGGAGACCGGGGAAGCCAGGGCTCCGCACTCAGGCCACCCCAACCTGTTAAGCTGCGTACCAAGGGGGCCGGGCCAGCGTCTGGGGAGTTTTCCAGGCCCAGAGAACGCGCCTTCGCCCTCTCAGTACAGAGACGGAAGCTGCGGGGCCCTCAGGAGGCCTGTGGCGACGGAATCCAAGCCGGGACGCGCGTCCCGCCTGCCCTCAGAGGCAATCAACCGGGCATCTCGCCCTGGACACACGGGGCGCTTCTACGGGCTCCTCTCCCCTGCACTGGAAGGCGGGAGGCCTGGCTGGATTTACAGCTAAAAGAGCACCGAAGGGTCTCAGACCCCTGTTCTCTGCACCGCCGCCCCCCCCCAACACCGGTCACTCTGTAGGCCCACCCCTGAGTACCGAAAAGAGCTCAATTCTCCAAGTGAGAACGTGCAGGCGCCTCCTGCCAAGGCGGCCAAGTTTGATAAACAGCGCCTCCTGGGGTGAGGAGAGCGGAGTGCCGCAGCGCAGCCGAGAGCCGAGCCGCCCAGGCTCCCACCCACCCCCGGGCAGGTGGCCGCCGCGGCTCCCCGCCCGGCTTCACCAGCTGGGCCGCGGCTTCTGCGCGTCGGGCGCACCTAGGCCTCGCTGACCCCGTGACCTCAGGAGCGCGA